GAGGGGCCCGTGTATTCTGAGAGGGCACAGCTTTTCTGGGGTTAGATTCTCTTGGCCTACGTTATTTGCATATTTCCTTACTCTTCGTCCAATGGCGTCTTCGCTGAAATCCAATTCGACAAATTGCGATACACTGTCTTCTGGATATGCAGGGAACTAGCATAGTCCAAAAATTACTCATACATTAGACAATTTTACTTTTCGATGTTGCACTAGCATTAGGTTTTACAGACGGATCGAAATATGAAGGAAGCAGTACGCTGTAAAAGAGGGTACTTCGGGCAGACGGAGGGGAGAGCAAAGAAAATGTAAATTTTGCCGAAATCAGATTTTTCGCAAAGGAGGCGCAGCACTGTGTTTGGATTTTTCGACCAAAAACGGTTTTCCAGACTGATGGGCGATGCTTCCAGGCCGCGTTGACGGCTGTTTTCCTGATTTTGCTGCTGTTTGCTTCAGTGAATCGCTAGATCAATTTTTCATTTCATTGAGCAATTTGTCTTTCTTCTTATGTCTTTCTATGTTGTTCTTGCTAGACTTTGCTTTTCTTCGGTCAATATTTTGCCTACATCGTCTGTAAATATTGGAGTCTAGTTGGCGAATTTCAGACGTATTAATTTTTGCTCTTTCTGCACCGTTTTGAAATTGATGCTCTTTAAGAACAACAACGCAAGGACGACAGCACTGCACTCCTCGTCCTCTCGGCACCACACTCGACAAAACCGCCCTACTTTTTACTGCAATCGCGCAATGCAAAAACGCATACCGTGGAGAGATTGTGTGTGTGTCTGTGTTCTTGCATACTGTATGTGTGTTCGCATACTTCGATTCCAGATCTATGAAAGTTATGAAGTAGAAATTTTGTCTACCTGGATGAGTTCCAAAATGGACGTTCGGGCACGTGAAAGTTGGCACAGAAATTTTGGTAGCTTGCTGACCGGATCGGCCGGAAATCTCAAATTCTGTAAACTCAGTCCACGACAATGTGTGAATGTTTATATGAAGGCGATATTGAAGTTTCTTTAAATTTCTTTTATAGGTAGAGGTTGAAGAAATTTTATAACTTGTTGTGCAAAAAACGCAAGCCTACCCGGACTACTGATGCGAGTCGAAATTTTTTTGTATTTGCTTTAGACTGGACAGTATTTTTTCATCCAAGCTCTTCACGGCTTGTCTCAAAATGTTCGGCAAACCGAATTGGGCCAATGCTTCATGCTGAAAAGTAGCTGGATCAGTCTTATAACCATGCGGTAGACTTTTCTATTGGGTGAGGCTGCTGACAAAATGTATGTCTCAAATTCAGCGATAAAATTCAGCACTGTCTTTTTGTTTCGATTGCCCTTGGATCGAAGCCATTGGTTGTGAAGTCCTCAATAGTTATTAAGTTGTTTCGGTTCTAAACTGGTGCTCTCCTTCCCTAGCATACTTCGGTCACGAATTGTTTCTTGGTAATACTGCTTTGCCTTCTGTTTTAGGATCAAAATATGGCCTTTTTTTACAGAACCGAGAAAATCAAAAAAAAAATTTTTTTTCCGATTTTATCATTTTTGTTTCAGTTGTTATAAATAACAACTTGTACAGTTTTTTTTTCGTTATTCTGGTTCGCATCAGTTTTGCCATATTTCTTTTTATTCTCGCATACGGTAAAACTTGGTTTTGGTATAAGTGAGCCGTGGAAAAAAAATCAAAGAGCTGCCGCGTTCTGCCGTTCGTCAAATCAAGATAACTGCATGGGTCAGCAGGACTGTCTCGCATCTGTAGCATCACATTACCGACCGGAGCAAAGTTTTCTGATCGCGAACCGATAAGAAACATACGCGTCACATAACAGCAGCGTGGAGCACTCGATGTTCGTGAGAAACATTCGCAGGCCAAACTTCACTACTCCTTGCTACTCTGCCGCTGTCCACTCGCTCCTAGCTCCAAGCAGATGTGTCCATTATTAAATGGACTGTGTTTGTACATCGATGGTTCCCATCTCAGAAGAGCACATATTAGTCGACTGGACTTCAATTCTCCAAATTTTTCCGTTTTCCTAGAAATGATTCTTTCCTACCTCGTTTTTGGGACCGCAGGCTGGTGCCTCGATCTATGCTGGTGCAGTAAAATTCTTGCAAGAATGTGGACTAAATGGCAAAATGAAGAGAAGAAAATGAAATCGAGTAAAGGGACAAGAGGAGGGTATCTGAAAATGGGAGCTAATACTTTTCTATTCATTAAGACAAGACGTCTTCAAAAAACAGCTACGTCTATAGTCAGTTCACTTCCGTACACCTTTTAACACGAGATGTTTCATAAAATTTTGTCCCGATTTCTTGCATATATTGCGCCTTCTCATGTTTTTTCCTAGTATTCTCTCGAATTTCGAAACGTACTGATTTGCTTTTAAATGCAATTTAGCACTTCGGATGCCTTTTCGCACTTCGTCTAGCCAATTTCTGCACTAGTCATATGGGATCTTATGCTTCACTGATGAAATTTTGTCCTTCTTAACTTAAACACACTTGATTCTGACAGCTTTCGTCAAAGTAAAATGGTTGCAGATATTTTTTTTTTTTGTCGAGTTCTTGTCTTCTTTTTCGGTTCCCACTTTATGTGGTGAGTATTTTTTGTACTTCGGCGATGTTATGGCATTTATAGCCCTCTATAGCGCATCTACAAAACGATGAGCCAGAATTTTTTTTGCTTACTTTTATTCATTATGCGCGAATCAACACTTTTAGGATTAGCTTCTCGTCTTAATAGAAGCTAATTTTAATTTCGTACTTTCATCATCAGTTTGTCATTATTTGATTCAGTTTCCCTTCATTTCTTATTCATATGCGAACGACTTCGCTTATCCGTAAAGCAAAAAAAAAAAATTGTTTTTTTATATAAGGCACTGGTGCATTTGCAGTTCTCCATCTGTACTGCCGCTCAGAGGCTGCTAAGAAAATATGACTAATCACGAGAAGCTAGCAGCAAAATGGCTCAAGTGGGATAAGGTTTCTATTTTTGTGTTTCTTGAAATTTCTTCAAAATTTTTCTCGTTTTAGTAGGCTTTTTTAAAGTCCTTGGTTTTATTGCACTGAAGACCAGCAATTGATTTAACAGCATGGATAAATGAGAATGCCATTTTTTCAGGATCGCGAATGCAAAGACTTCTCAGAAGCGTTTCGATTTCAACCTTTTCCATTCCTAGCTTTTTCCCTTTTTAAGTTCCATCAATTTTTGCCGATTTTGTTGGAAAATTTTTACAGAATGAAAAAACCCGCGCTGAAATTGAAGATTTAATACAAAAGAAAAATGTTGAGGAATTAGAATCACGACTTTGTGGCAAAATGGCTTTTGGGACAGCTGGTATGTTTCTTTTTAAGACTAAAATTTGAATCCTTTATTCATCAATTAGACTTGTTCATTTTTTGAAAAAAAGATAAATTTTGACTTTTCCTTTCCCCATCTTCCTGATCATCTTTCCTCCCGATCCAGCCCCCTCTGTTATCAACTCTCGCTCGCTTACTATCGTCTGTTTAATAAAAGGCCGAATTGGCTCTCCCTTGCTTTTTCGTGCAATAATCAAGTGCAAGCAACGAATAGATGGAGTGGAGCTAAGAATTTTTGGTAGTGTAGCATTATTAGCATAGCACTCTTAATCGCTAGTTAAAAACCTGTAAAAATTTATCTCTTGTAATACCCCTGCAAAAAGTGAGTACAATTTTGGAGGAAATAATTGGACTAATTAAAGTAGTACAGAGGAGCTTCCCTGCAGGAGTAAGGACGAGAATGGAGGCCGGATTCTGTCGATTGAACGATTTAACCATACTGATGCTAACACACGGTTTCGCGAAACACCTAAAAGATGAATACAAACGTGATAGCAATGGCGTCGCAATCGGCTATGATGGCCGTCATAACAGTAAACGGTTTGGCGCCTTAAACTTCTACAGAATGATACTAGGATGACTTCTTTTATAGCCAAAGTGACTAAAATAGCAAATTCATGGAAAAAAAAAAACTTTTTTCAGGAAACCAAAAAAAAAGTGCAATATTAGCATGCGTAGTAAGAAAATCGCTCCAGGAATGCTTTTTTGATTTCAAGCTGGAATATGTTTCGTTGCTGAAATGTCTTAAATTTCATAATAAAATTTTAAGCGGAAAAAATTGGAAAAGTTGCCTGAGCAGCCGAAAAATCCTACTTCAGTTTCTTTCGAGCTGTGAAAGTTTTTTAAAAAAATCATAAATTCAATTTTTCAAGCGAAAAACGAATATTAAGAAATGGAAGCATCTGTTTTCAATACTCATTTTCAGCAGCTAGCTTATACGATATTTTTAGCGCAAAAATTTTGAAAAAAGCGAATACTTTTATTTCCCAAACAGGAAGTGAGTTACTGACGCCTTATTTTTGAGAGGCATCAACCGAAAAAAATGTCCTACTGAGTACGCACGGGGATTGAGGGGCTCAGCTATCTAGGAGTTGTTGAGCTGAACTTATATTTTACTTTGATAATTGTTTATAACAAAGTGCAATTTATGATTACAGGTGGGCTGAATTAGCGGCCAATGTTTTCGTGCTCAATGGAATTAAAGTGTTTGTGTTTTCGGAGTGCTGCCCGACACCTGTTGTGGTGAGTTATCACCATATCAGTTAAGCACAGTTGTTAGCTAGTAGTAGTTGTCGTATTGTTTACTTAGTTTTAGCGGTTAATAGCACGCCATTCTTCTAGTTGACAGTGTTTTTGTTGATATGTCAGATTTCACAACATTAACCTAACTATATGTAAGATCAAGAATACGAAAATCGCCCAGGTTATCAGTGTCTGTATCCCCTGTTAGTGATCTTAGTGCAGCCAGCATCAATTAATAAATATGCGTCAGTTAACCCACGTAAAGTTGGACGTATTAACAATTCCTAAAACCTGTTCTGTTGAATCTGCTCGTTTCTGCTAACTATCACGTGAATGAAAACGTTGTTTTGAAAACCAAAATTTGATATTCTTATAATCCGTTTGGATTTAATACCGAACGAACGCAGCAATTCCCGAATCAGGTGTTTTTAAAGCACATTCAAGCAGATTTTAAAAATCATCAAAAAAGAGGATTATCTTTTGTAGAAACTTACAAATCTCGCGATATTTAATTTTCATTATTTTTGTCAAGAAAGTAAACAGCCACTCAGGCTTTCCCTGAAGAGGAGATGCACATCGAACGAGTGGAGGGTATTAACTGATGGTATGCAGCCCATTACCAAAGGGCTGCTCCCGGCTTGTGGAAACATTCCACTAGCACTACTAGCATGGGACACCCGCACCAATTTTCCAAGCGGCCTTGAAAGTCTCTATTGATGTACTTGTATTTCCTAATTCTTTAGATTTTATATATTTTATGAAGCTCTGTTTTGCATACATTTTGCACTCTGAAATATCGTTATTTTTTTTTTTTTTGTTAAAATCTAAATTATCGACACAGCGTATTTTTGCTGTGCGAACGAATAACTGTATTAGTAGTTACATTTCAAGCAGGCGCAAGATGTATCAGTGGGTGGTAACGCTAGTTCTGATATTGCCGATCTCATATTGTTAGTTATGGAGTATCGGTTCCTCCTTAAGAGTCCCGAAATTTATCTTCTGTTTCGTTGCATCGGTGACATCTTTATTCTCTATTGCGCTAACTTTGCTGTAATCACTAGTAACATCGATGGATTCAGCCTGAAACTTACCACCACTTACTTCCGGACCAGGGCTTGCTTTTTAGACCTCGAAATTCGCAGCCATGAAGGCAACTTTTACGTGTTCAACAAGATTTTGGACTACCCTTTCATAGTTAATCAGGGAAATGTTTCTAGATAGCGTGCAAAAAAGGGTCATTGTATTGTAGGTACTACGCACACTTCATTGGTCTAGACACCCAGGCGCAGCAAGGTAACTCCTCCTGCATTTAATACGTTACTGGTACGCCAGCGTTGCCTGATAGGTATTAATACCCCAAAACACCATTTTGTTCGGGTAATTATTGCAATCATAGTTGACTGAAAGCAGTATCTGTTGTCAGATTTGAGCAGAATATGCTATACTAGGAGCTTGAGTAAGTCCGGGTGTACGTATCTTGATTGTTTTTGTCCACTGACACATTACGATGAGGATTTTCTGAGATAAATGAGGCAAATTCTAGTCGTATGCAACAATAAGGCTGAAGTGTGATGCTGGCCTGATGATAACAGCATCTCATAATCCGAAGCAAGATAATGGATACAAAGCATACTGGACGAACGGAGCTCAAGTAAGTTTTTCTTTATTGTAAGCGCATTTTCCAAACAATATCTTAAGATTTTACTTTATCTGATTATAAATAGACGCCTGCTTTCTTCCGCCTTGGCCGTGTATGGTACTTGAAACGTCTGATGGCATTGAAAATTCTTATGGGAAGCGATTAAATTAGTTGAAGTAGCGCAGAGTCCTGTTATTTAGCCGAACTTGGATTGAACTAGAAGATGGGTATATTCAAAAAATTGACATGGAAAAGTAGGGAAAACAAAAATAGCCTTGAGGCGTCATTTTGACAAATAACGCCAATTTTGATAGAAAAATATAAGTGCTTTCGTCTCTCGAGTATTATTATGCCCTGCTAGGTCCACTTTCCCCATCTCCAAAATTTTGCATATTCGTTCGAATTTCTTCCTTAAATCCAGAATTCTGTAAACTTTTAGCTGATTTTTCGGCACCAAATCTGTCAGTTACTTGCAGTTAGTTAAAAACTTGTCTGGGGTAGTCAAAGAAACTAGTGCTGAACTGATTTAATTATTTTTGAGGTTAATTTCATTAAAAATATTGAAGTTACTGGGACCGCATGATCGGGAAATATGTCGAATAGCTTACGAGGATACGGAGCCAAAGCCCGAGTACTGGGACACATCAAAGCTCCGCTCGCATCCGCTTTTCAATACAGCTGATCCAGTTCTGGAAAAATATTTTGCTGACGAATCGACACTTTCTCAGTTTAAGTCAGTTATTGTCTAAAATAAACTTTTGGTTTCTGATAAAAATTGGATACGCACCCGCCACATACATGTCGCACATATACATAAATACGTATATACATACACCGATACACACATATATACACATACATACATAAACACAAAAGTACGAGCGAACTTTGCCCAAAAATTATGCTTTTTGTTTGTCTTTCTGTTCTTTGGCCTTTCCGCTAAAAATGCGGTGTCCGTCCAAGTTTTTGATGTTTAGTGCAATTTGGCTATAAAAGCATTTTTTGTTAATTTGTCATTTCTAAAATAAAAATCAAAGACTTTTTTAACAGATCTCTGAATGAGAAATGTCCAATCAAATTCACTTATTCGGCGTTCCATGGTGTGGGTTTGCCGTACGCGTCGAGGATGCTAAAGGATTTTGGATTTCCATCTGAAAGTTTGGTTGTTGTACAGGTATGTTTGCTTCTTTTGAACATGCAAATGGATCAGATTGCTATACAGTAGTATCTTAAACGGTATATTTTATTCCAGATTCAACGTTTTTTTGTGACTGTTAGTTTCAAAGCATATGCTGGTGCAAAGAATTGTCTTCTTGACAACTGTATTAGGTTTTATGATGAAGTAGTGTTATTCGTTACAACTGCGCTTTGTTTCAGGAGCATGCAAAGCCAGATCCGGACTTCCCGACGGTGCCATTCCCGAATCCAGAAGAAGGTTTGAAAGTGTTGAAAATTCCCATTGCAACTGCTGAAAAGAACCATTCCACTGTGATTTTGGCGAACGACCCGGATGCCGACCGCTTTCAGTTAGCTGAACAGCAAAAACAGTAAAATTTATTTTAAGCTCTGCTTTCAAACCCATATTTAGGTGGATTTTCAGTTAATTTAACAAATTTTGCAGGCTACTCGTTGCTGTTAGTAAATGATAGCAAAATAGAAAACCAATAAATATGGTGCATATTTTGTGAGGTCTACGCTCTGGCGTGGTTTAGTAGGATTTGTAATGTGCACTTATGTCAGATATGAAATCAAACAGATGAGCAAACTGAGAAGTAAAAATTAAGAGCGTCTGTATGAGTTTGCAATTGATATAAGGTGCACTGCTATGAAATATTCCCAGAAAATTCATGATTCCGCTTGTGATGGTGTGTTTGAGTCCAGACGACGGGGTGAAGTTGCGGGTGCTGAGGAGAGCTCGTGTCTCTAAGATTGAGGCATTGTGAAAAAAGGAGTTGTGAAATTGTGCGCAGGAGACGTTGTGTAAAAGTCAGGTAGAGGTTGTGTAAAGAAGGCGTCATGTAGAAACCGTGTAAGAAGGTGTGAAGAGAAACCCTCGTCCTGCGAAAGGTAGATGAAGAAAAGCTCCTGCTGTGTAAAA